TGAAAACTAAGTTCCTTCTGTTCCTAAGCCACCCAGCCCAAGGTATTTTGTCATAGCAGCCTCAAGACCCTACGCTTCAGCATCCGGCCTACAGTGACAGGGAGAGGGACGGCGCAGGCCCAGCCCAGGGGAGGGCCTGGCCAGGTGTCAATCTACACTAGTGTATTCCTTTTGGATGGAACTGCTTAGGAAGCAGGGACTCCATCTTCCCTATTCTCATACCCTCCGCCACTGGCCCCTGTCCAAGAGTCGCCCAGCCAATGCCAGCCACTGCTTTGTGCCCAGAATCGCAGAGGTTGGCGAGGCCGTTCTCAGACTGTCAGAAGAAGCAGAGGTAGAGCACTGCTGTCACACATCGTTACCGGAGGCAGTGAGGCGCACAGCATCCCACGGGCCCAGCAGACAACTGTCCTCTGGCACGCCACACTGCTGCCAGCGGTCAGATTGTGGCATTTTGTGCAGCAGGTGCAGAGGCAGTGGGGACAGAGCCTGCCCCGTGGCCTGGGCAGGTTGCCTCTTGCTCTGAGCCTGTATGGTGCAGTGACACCTACTAGCGAGGCTCCAGGGGTTAAATGAGGCCACAGGGCCCAAGTGCCTGGGGAGCACTCAGTGGGTGCTCAGTGATGCTGAGGCCAAGGCTGCTGTTACTCCCTCTGCCCAGCAGGGGTCCTCAGTGTGGCATGCCAGCTATGGACACGGGTATCTACCAGGCAACTTTGTGGGACAGAAACCCTTGGGCTAAGTGCAAAGAGCTCTTTGAGCTCAGGCCTGCACCCTGACTTCCCCTCCATAAACAGGGCTGGTGATGTCCAACTTCCTCGTGTTTCTGGTTGGGGGAAGAAGTCTCGAGTCCCGGCTGAGCAGAGCTGCCTCAGGACACAAGTGCTCAGGGCCATGCCTGAGATGGCCAAAGACTCGGGTTTGGGGGCCGGCCAATGGTCTCTATGGGGCGTGGCATCTGACTGTCTTGAGCACCCTCTTTTTTGAAAGTTCTGTTTCTGTTTCTCTTCATTTGAAAGGAAGAGCAACACCGAGAGATCTACCCACTGAAGTGTAGCCCCCAAATGTCTGCAATTGTCTAGGCTGGGCCGGGTTGAAGCCGGGAGCCAGGATTCCAGTCCAGGTGCCCCATGTGGACAGCAGGGACCCAAGTACCTGTGCCCTCACCTGCTGCCTCCTAGGGTGCGCATTAGCAGGAAGCTGGATCAGAATCGGGGCAGGGACTCAAACCCAGGCACTGTGACCCGGGAGGCAGGCGTCCCAAGTGACAGCTTTACCGCTACACCAGACGCCTGTCCTCTGGAGCATGGCCTTAACCATGTGCTGTGGTTTGGAGGCACAGCCTCGCTCAGGTTCAAGGCTGAGGGTCACCAGTCGGCAGCTGTGTGGCAATGGGCAGCCGCTTAACCTTTCTGAGCCTCAACCACCCCATCAATAAAATTCGAGTCATCTGATAGACCTCAAAAACAAATTGCACCTGCTGTTACTGATGCTATTACTTGTCCCATGAGTCTGTCCCTGAACACGTCCCTCTCCCTCAACCCATTCATTCCCTCCTCCTACCCACAGCCTGGAAGCGACCTTTTCCTCCCACAGGCTGGCACAGCAATCATGAATTTCCAGCTTCTAGGGTGTGGAAAACTGCCCTAGGCCATGTTATGAGCTTGACAGGAGCCCCCCAACCCCCACAGACCAATACCTGCATTCACACCCCCTATGCTGCTAGGAAGACAAGAATGGTGCAATGGGTTTATTTTTTTTTTCTTGCCCGAGTTTGTTTTATCAAAACAAACTACTCTGCTGAAAATCAAAATACAGTCCATAACATTTTTTTTTAAGTTTTACTTGTTTGTTTTATTTGAAAAGCAAAGAGAGAGACTTCCATCTACTGGTTCACTCCCCCAGTGCCTTTCAAAAGTCCAAGCTAAGCCAGGCTGAAGCCAGGAACCAGAGACTCCATCCAGGTCTCTCACGTGGGCAGCAGGAACCTGAGTACCTGGGCTGTCACCTGCCACCTCCTGGGTGCGTCAGCTGAAAGCTGGATCAGAAGCCGAGGCAGGGACTCCAGTCATTGTGATGTGGGATGCGGGTATCCCAAGGGGTGGTTTAACCTGCTGCACCACCGCGCCTGCCCCCGGGGCTTTCTTACAAATATCAATCACCGACATCATCAACGAATGGCCCAGAACTCCTGGGGAAGCTCTCAACTCCACAGTGTCCTTTATGTTCTAACCGGGTCACTGCATGTCCTTCTGGGGCGGACAGGCACATGCGAGGCGGGACTGGCCGTTCCTGAGCGCCTACCAGGGGCTGGGGCCTGCGTGAGGTGGAGAAGGTGACGTCAGGGGGGTGGCCTGAAGAGAGGGCAGCCTCGTCAGGAGGATGGGCCTCCAGCGAAGGACTCCAGGCAAAACGGGGGGTTCACAGAGACAAGGGCAAGCTCCCCTGACCTTGGCCAGGAAGCCTTCCGGAGTCCTCTGCAACCTCTCTGGGAGATGACTTCCCCTCGCACCTCATCCCAGGAGGGCTGGAGCGGTGCTGCTCCATTGAGGGGCACCCAGGTGAGGGGCTGAGCCCCACAGGTACACACAGGCAACCAGCAAACAAACACAAAGCCCTGGAGGCCATGCAGAGGCTGAGATGGCCAGGACTTGGCGTTTCTCATTGTGATGGGAACCGGCCCAGCAGCCTGGGCTGGATCTGCTTGGGGTCATCGCCCCCTCCAGCTGGCTGTGGCCACCTTGCCTTAGGGCTGGTCCCCATAATGTCCTGGGAAGAAGGAGAGGTCCTCCCGCAGGGGCCCATGGGTCCAACTGAGCCACCCTGGGTGGGTGAGGCGCTGGGAAGGGCCTCTGACAGCCTCATTACCTGTTGTGGCCACTGAGGTCCTGCCAATAGGCCCTGACATGATGGCACAGAGGTCACAGGTCACCAAGGCTGGCAGCCCCAAGGAGACATACGGAGCCTCAGTGCTCCAATGCCTGGTCCCTGTCCAGCCGTGACATGGTGTGGGGTTTTGCCTTGGAAGTATGTTCAGAATTTACTCCTCTCCTTAGGGACTGGGAGGATGAAAGGCTGTCTAGAGGGGAAGGGGTGAGGGTCCCCCTGGAGAGATGAAAGACACCTACCCTGCCAGCAACGGCTGCAGGGGAAGCCCAGAGCTGGGTGAGGCTGGGGACGGAGGGCTGGGGGCTGAGGATCTGAGCTGGAGGCCCTCTTGGCATGTCCTGGACTGGGGCAGATTTTATGCTTTAGTGTCTGTAGGAGAAAACTCAGAATACCATGAACACTACATCAAACTGAGCAGGCAACCACTGGAGTGCCATCTTTGATTGTGTGTGTGTGTGTGTGTGTGTGTGTGTTAATTTGAAAGGCAGAGTGACACAGAGAGAAGGATCTTTCATCTGCTGGTTCACTCCCCAAAAATGGCCACAACGGTGACCGAAGCCAGGAGTTTCCTCCCAGTCTCCCATGTGGATGCAGGGGCCCAAGCACTTGGGCCATCCTCCATTGATTTCCCAGGCCACAGCAGAGAGCTGAGCTATCCTTGTTTATATATATATATAAATATATTTATATATTATAATGTGTTATATATAAATATATAATATATAATTTTATATTAAATATATTTATATAAATAGTTATATATTTATATATAGTATACTATAATATATAAATATATATTTATATAAATATTTATTTATTTATTTGAAAGGCAGAGGTACAGAGAGGCACAGAGAGAGAGTCTTCCATCCACTAGTTCACTCCCCAAATGGCCGCAACAGCCAGAGGTGTGCCAATCTGAAGCCAGGAGCCAGGAGCTTCCTCTGGGTCTCCCATGCAGGTGTGGGGGCCCAAGGACTTGGGCCATCTTCTACTGCTTTCTCAGGCCATAGCAGAGACTGGATAAGAAGTAGAGCAGCTGGGGATTCAAACCGGCACCCACATAGGATGCCGGCACTGCAGGCAGTGGCTTTACCTGCTATGCCACAGTGCTGGCTCCCCCCTCCCCCACCCCATCCTTGTTTTTAAATAGGGCAAAATAGGTGGGCAAGTTAGGAACTCCCACATGCCAAGCTGGAGTGCCTGGGTTCAAGTCCCGACTCCACTTCAGTGCGAGCTGTCTGCTAATGCTCTCCCTGGGAGACAGCAGCAGGGGACGGGAGAAGCAGCTTGAGTCCCTGGTTCTTGGCTCGGCTTTTACAGGCATTTGGGGAGTGAACCTGAGAATGGAAGATCTCTCTGTCTCTCTTGCAAATAAAAAAAAAAAGTTTTAAAAGAAAAAAGAAGAAGAAATAAACCGTGGTAGAAAAAAAAAGGCAAATAGACAAAACCCCAGCAGTCAACAAAGGACATGGTGGCGGAGCACACCGGGGAGGAGGGAGTGGTCCCATCAGCAGAAGCGCCAGGGTTCCTGCTCCCAGAGAAAGAGAGAAAGCGCTTCTGGTGATGCACCCGGTCCTGTCCTGTGGATTCACCCCAGGGCTCCCCGGGCCCTGCGACCGCAGCCTCTCTCTGCGGCTGGCATGGATGCCCTCAGACAGACGCGTAGCTGCCACTCCAAACGGTGCGCGGGGCGCACGGTCCCCGGGGCCCGGCCGAAGCCGGGTCGGCGCCGCCGGTGCTAGCGCGCAGCCCGTCCCACCATCGGGAGCCTGGAAGAGGGGGGCGCGCCAGGAACACATGCAGCAAAAAGACTAGGGAGACCTCAGGGGTGCCATGGAGTAGAGGGGTCGGGGCTCGGCTATTGATGAAGACGATCACTCTAAAGGGCTAGAAATCACCTGCAAAGCGTGCGAGGCGCCTCAACGAGTGGCTTTGTCTTGTTCCTCGGGAGGTGGCACCTAGGGGTGGGATTTGAGAGGCAGGCTCCCACCCCAGCTCTTCGAGCTTCAGGGCGGCACCCGCGGAGCCCCAGCCAGGTCCTTTGGGGCGTGGGGCGGGGCGGGCGGTTGGGGCTCCTCCCTCCTCTGCCCTGGGCTCCCCTGCTCTTAACCCGCGCGCGGGGGCGCCCCGGGCACTGGGCTCCGCGGAGCAAGCGAGCGGTCAGCGGCGAGCCAGAGCGGGCGACGCGGGCATGGCCCCCGCAGCGACGTCGGGCGGCAGCAGCCTGCCCAGTGGCTTCTCGGTCTTCGTCACCTTCCCCGACTTGCTCTTCATCTTTGAGTTTGTGAGTGGCTGGCGCGCCCCGCACCGGGCCGGGGAAGGGACGGTGGACTCAGGCGTGCGTTCTCGCAGGGGATCTGCACGGCTGTGGGGCGGGCTCTTAAAGGCGCGAGGGTCCCAGCCCGGGATCCGGGGCAGGGGCTGCGCCCGGAAGCCCCCCCACACACACACACATGCACCTGCCGTGCATCCAGTCTCCAGGGTGTAGGTGGGAAAATCAATTGCGCACCCTGTGTCAGAGGTTGGAAGCGGGTCAGGCGGGCTTTATCCTTGACGCTCTCTTTGCTGCGCGTCCCGCTCGCTTTGAGGAGCAAGCTCACCCCGGGGCTTGCCCCCTGCCGCCCAGCCACGTCCTTGTAGAGGGGTCCCGCATTTCCCAGGCAGGAGATATTGTTCAAAAGGAAACATCAACAAAAGAAACTGGTTTGGGAGACTGGGAGGCGCTGAATCCAGATTGCTCTTTTTTTTCTGGCAGTTTAAAGTTTCTGGCGAGTATTCACGACAAATTTGATCTAGAAATAATATAAGAGGCCATCGTCGGAAGCGCCAGGGGCGGTTCTGCTCCGAGTGTGGGCTTGGGGGCCGTGGAGGCAGCGAGGGAGGCTGGCGGGAGGGGTCCCTGCGCCTTGGCTGACCTTGAGCTGTCCCGTAGTCTCTGCACCTGCGGCTGACAGGAAGCGCCTCCTAATGCGGGCTCCAGGTTGGGTTCTAAGCCTCAGCCCTCCTGGGTACCACGGTCCTTACCTTGAAGGGCGCGTTTCCCTTTCTGTGATGTGTCCCAGCCTAGGGACCCCTTTTCCTGCCCAGTGGCTTCTCGGTCTTCATCACCTTCCCCAACTTGCTCTTCATCTGTGAGATGAAGATGCAGATGTAGCCGAGAGAAAGAAGATGTTGGAAACGTCTTCAAAACTGGACCCCAGATTCCTAATGTCTGATCAGAGCGGAGAGGGGGCAATGACAAAGGGACAAGGGTTTGGAGGAAAGGACCAAAGGGGTTCCCAGTTACCCAGCAGCAGGGATATCATTGAACTTGTGTTCAATTGGGTGTGTCCAGAGTGACTTCAAATCCTGTGGCTAAGCAAAGAAGTGAGAGGGTGGAGCAGAACCCAGGGTGGAGGGACACCCAGGCCCAGAGGGGACGGGCTCGCCCCTGGTGCTCACTCACCTTCACCGTCCATGCTTGAGGTTGCCAGGCAAAACCTGGACTAGCGGCCAGTGGAGTGTGTTTAAGGTAAGCACGTGACAGGTGCAGGAGCCGCCCGGGGCCGCCCACACCCGAGATCCTTCTTGCCCCACATGGCTCTTCTGGGTGTTTCTCCTATTGCTTAGCCTGTGTTGACCCCAGGTTGAACTTCCAAAAACGACTGGGAGAAGTAATGGGTGGTTCCTTCCAAAGCGTTACCAAGAGGTATTGGCAAGCACAGGGTTTCATGGCCAAAAGAGATCGCGTCTGAGAGCGTGCCGGGCTGGGTTCTGAAGTGAAGATCTGCTTAATCTCCTAAATTGCCCTAATGAGTGCCTTCCCCGACCTCCGACCTCCATAGCTGTTTAGAAAGCATTATCATGAACTCGAAGAGGGTCTGTTGGTTGGGCTTCCTGCTTTAGCAAAGAGCTCCAGTGCACCCCCCTCCTCTTGCTCTGAAGGGAGCTGGGTGCAGTGGCGGCCAGTGACGGGGTGGGGCTACAGAGAGGGCACTGCCTGCCAGTGCACCCTCTGCCTCCTCTTACAGCTTAACAGGGGAAAGAGTGGCCCTGAGAGGGGAGCAGCCCAGCCAGGCAAAGTGACCTGGCTGGTAGGGGGAGGGTAAGAGGCTCCCACACAGGACCCAGCATCCTTCCAGAGATCCGAGTGTGGGAAATCTGTGAGTGGGAACTTCCTCCCGCAGGGTGGTTTTGTGATCTGTGGTGGTAGAAAGTTCTAGAAGAAATGACTTCCCTTTGCCGGGACCACTTACTTCTCAGCCATGGACTTAGACGTTGCTTCTCCTCCATCTCAATGTTTCCTGAGAGGCCCCGGATGCATCCCTTGTCATATCTGAATTTCTTCCTCTCTGGATTGGGGGTAGACTCACAGAGAGTCCACGGGACAAGAGGAGTAGGCAGAGCCCAGTCCAGTTGTCCTCTGCACAGACTGTAAATACCAAGCTGTCCCTGCTTTGATGGGCACGAGGCGTGCAGAATTAAAGGACAGAAGAGGCACTGGCCACCCTGGGAGGGTTTTTTTTTAAAGTGACAGAATCTGACATCTCAACCACAAAAAGACAAACAACCCACCGGAAAATAGGCAAGGACTTGGACAGATATTTCCCTGAGGAAGATACACGAATGGCCAACAAGCATATGAAACGATTGTCAGCAAGCATCCTGAGTCATTAGAAAAGTGAAATCAAAATCAGCTACGACTTCCCACCCAACAAGTGCCTAGGTTTTTTTTGTTGTTGTTGTTAATGGAAAATAACAAATGTTGGCCCAGGCGTGGAGAAATCGGAATCCTGGTACATTGCTGGTGGGAACATAAAATGGACAGTTCAGCTGCTATGGAAAACAGTCTGGTGGTGCCACAGAAGATTATGCTGTGACCCAGCAGTTGTGTGGGAAGTAGACAAGAGGAGTTTCCAAGCAGGGACTTGGATTAGTTCATGGGCAGAAGTGTCGGTAGCAGCACCGTTCACAATTACCAACAGGTGGAAACAGCCCGTGTTTATCCAATCAACAGATGATTGGATAAAGGTGGTAGAGCTGTCGAATAAACTCATATTCAAAGAGAGGAGTGAAATACTAAGGCAAAGTTGATAAACCGTGGAAAGTGTCTGCCAAGAGAAAAACAGCAGAGAAGAAAGATCACATCTTACACAGTTCTGTCTACATAAAACATCCAAAATAGGTAAATTAGTGGAGATAGGACACAGACTCAAGGTTTGCCAGAGACGGAGGGGGGCTGTCCAGGGAGCAGTTGCTTGATGGGCGCAGACTTTCCCCATGGGAGGTGGGTGGGTGCACAACACCAGGGTTATACTGACGGCCCCTGACCTGGTCCGTTTTAAATCTTTAACCCAGGGGCAGGCATTGGACCCAGTGATTAAGATCCCACTTAGGACACCTGCATTCCACACTGTAGTGCCTGGGTTCAATGCCTGTGTCAGGCTCCTGGCTCCGGCTTCCTGCTGGTGCAGGTCCCGGGAGGCAGCAGGGTGTGGTTCAAGTAGTTGGATTCTAGCTCTGGGCTCTGGCCCCAGCCCAGCACAGCCAATGTGGGCATTCCAGGAGTGAACTAGCAGAGGGGAGTGCTCTCCATCTCTGTGCCTCTCAAAATAAAAACTTAAAAAAAAAAAAAAAAGATTTCAGCTCCTACAGGAGAGTCAGACCAAGACATTCAAAAAGTTTGTAGGAAGTGGAATTGAAAGATAGATTTGTTTTGATGTAGAAAATTTGTGAGATCCTTGCATAGCTTTCTCACAATTTATGTCTTCCATGAACTTTTTTTTAACTTTTAGTTCCAAAAGTAGTTTATGGATTACAATGGCTCCCCCCCCCAATAACTTCCCTCCCACCCGCACCCCTCCCATCTCCCACTCCCTCTCCCATTCCATTCACATCAAGATTTATTTTCAATTATCTTTATATACAGAAGATCGATTTAGTGTATATTAAGGAAAGATTTCATCAATTTGCACCCACACAGAAACACAAAGTGTAAAATACTGTTACATTACTAGTTATAGCATTACTTCACATTGGACAACACATTAAGGACAGATCCCACATGAGGAGTAAGTACACAGTGACTCCTGTTGTTGACTTAACAATTTGACACTCTTGTTTATGGCGTCAGTAATCTCCCAAGGCTCTAGTCATGAGTTGCCAAGGTTATGGAAGCCTTTTGGGTTCGCCGACTTCGATCTTATTCCGACAGGATCATAGTCAAAGTGGAAGTTCTCTCCTCCCTTCAGAGGAAGGTACCTCCTTCTTTGATGGCCCGTTCTTTCCACTGGGATCTCACTCGCAGAGATCTTTCATTTAGGTCTTCTTTTTTTTTCCCAGAGTGTCTTGGCTTTCCAGTCTTCCATGAACTTTTCAAAAACCTCTCAAATAATACTTTATCAGGTACTAGCTTTACCCAGCTTGGTCAACTCTTAACATTTTGACTTATGTGCCCTTCAATATTAAGAAAATAAATCTTTTCAGATGGGATCTAAGTCCCTTGGGTGTTCTTTCTCTTCCTCCATGTGTAGGGCCACTCCCTCTGCACACTGTGATTTTAAATCACACTCACGAACTCACTGTACCTGCAGCCACAGCAGGTGCATCAGTGCCTTATACGTCCTCACACTTTATGAAAACCGCATCCCACTGTACATGGCCTTCTGAACCACACAGCCCTGGGTGCTGGGATTAGTGCATGTTTTTATTTGTTTTTAAAGATTTATTTTTATTTATTTGAAATACAGAGTTATAGAGAGAGGTAGAGACAGATAGAGAGGGCTTCCATCCGCTCGTTCACTCCCCAGATGGCCTCAATGGCCAGAGCTGTGCCAATCTGAAGCCAGGAGCTTCTTCCAGGTCTCCCACGCGGGTTCAGGGGCTCAAGGACTTGGACCATCTTCTACTGCTATCCCAGGCCATAGCAGAGAGCTGGATTGGAAGAGGAACAACTGGGACTAGAACCAGCACCCGTATGGGATGCCGACGCTGCAAGCCAGGGCTTTAACCCACCGTGCCACAGCGCCAGCCCTTGTTTGTTTGTTTTTAAGATTTATTTATTTGAAAGGCAGAGTTACAGAGGTAGAAGCAGAGGCAGAAAGAGAGAGATTTTCCATCCACTGGTTCACTCCCCAAATGGCCACAATAGCTGGAACTGAGCTGATCCAAGGCCAGGAGTGAGGAGCTTCTTCTGGGTCTCCCATTAGAGTGCAGGGACCCAAGGACTTGGACCACCTTCTACTGCTTTCCCAGACCATAGTGGAGAGCTGGATGGGAAGTGGAGCAGTCACGTCTCAAACCAGTGCCCATATGGGATGCCAGCACTGCAGGCAGCAGCTTCACCCACTTTGCCACAGCGCTGGCCCCATTAGTGCACGTTGACACTGTCTGTCCATCCTGCCGCCAATAGACTTTGGGCTCATTCCAATTTATGATTTCTGGCTGTTACAGACCACATTGCCAAGGACGTCCTTGGCCTTGCCATTGGGAACTTCTCTGGGAACACATGGAAGATTTGCTTTTCTGGGTCACAGGGCATGTGTGTCTTTGTTTTCTCGGCCGCTTCCACACCGCTGTGCGTGAGAGCCCTTGCCAGTCAGCCATTTCAGCCGAGGTTGACCAGGAAGCTGAAACGCTGAGTTACGGCCAGGATACCCATTTACCGGAATCCCTTCCAAGACTCTGTCTTGATGCTTTATCATAGTGAGTTTCAGGCTGAACCCGGGTCCCATCAGCAGCACGTGAAAGTCCCGGTTCCTCATCCTTGCGACACTTGGTACCACCAAACTATCACTTTCTGTTCCTCCGATGGATGTGAAATGGTTACTTATTAAGTCTGCAGTCCGGCAGGTTCTTGGTGATTCACATTCAGTTTCCCATGGCTGACCTCCCAACAGCCTGGGAGGTACAGATGCTCAGGGTGGGACCCGGGCCACTCCCGTGGCAGGGGCAGCAGCTCTCCAGAGCAGGGAGGGATGGCAGCTCAGGGTGGGGCTTCACACTCACCCTGGCTCAATGCCCCATCCCAGAGCTTTGACCGCTGAAAGCTTGGTGGCAGAGGGCCCACTAAGCAGTGTGCCCCTGAGGGCAGAGCTGTTGCTGGCAATGGGATCAAGGTTCACCCCCATAAATGCCTGCCTGGGAACGAAATGTCCAAAATGCTCTTCCCTTCTCCAACAACTCAACCCAAGGACTTGGCTTTGGCTTGGTCCTTGCAAAAAAAAAAAAAAAAAGTCCCTGCCCAGGGAGGCACCTCTCCCTCTGGAGCCACAGCGTCTGTTTCCTCCTCCTCCCTCCTGAGCCACCGAGCCCAGAGCAGAGGTTGGTGTGGGACACTTTCTGTGTCTGCAAACCAAGGCTGTAAAGTGGCAAGAGAGACCCGGCGCCCCCTGCCCCTACCCTTTCAAGACTTGGCTGCTCAAGAACCCAATGTCTCCCCAGTGTCCCCAAGCAGTGGAATTGGGAATGGAGAGAGCAAATGTGTTAAGAGCGTCTTAGGAATGCCACCCGGGGTGTGCAGCTCAGGAGGTGGCAAGAGGAGTGGGGTCAGCAGGTCGAGCTGAGCCAGCGCTTGCAGGGTGCGTGTTCTGGGGGGAGGGTGGGTAGCTTTGCAGTTTCGGTTCTTGCGGTGAAGTGCACACAGCAATGATTCAAGTGACTCAAAGTGACCAGAGACTTTTTATGGTTTGGACGTGACTGGGCAAGTCCTGGGGCCTCCCTAGATTTTTACCTGACCAGGAAGCAGCTGGCCCACACAGCCAGCCTCTCTTCTTCCTTCCTTCTCTTCTTTCCCTCTCTCTCTTTCTTTCTTTCTTTCTTTCTTTCTTTCTTTCTTTCTTTCTTTCTTTCTTTCTTTCTTTCTCTCTCTCTTTCTTTCTTTCTTTCTTTCTTTCTTTCTTTCTTTCTCTCTTTCTTTCTTTCTTTCTTTCCCTTCCTTCCTTCCTTCCTTCCTTCCTTTCTTTCTTTCTCTCTCTCTCTTTCTCTCTCTTTCCTTTTTTTGAGATGACTCTTTTATCTT